TGTATCAATAAGAAGCCCATAAAAGATTTTGGTCTACAGAATTGCCTTTATATATAAAAACAAGCAAAATGCAGAGGGAATTTTTTATTAAATATTAGACATCTGGGTTGACTGCATTAATTTTAAATCATCCTGTAATATTTCCTCTTCATTTGGTTCTTCAGATGCTCACATAATATGCAAATCATTTTAGAATGAATACAAAAGAAACATTAAATATATTAAAATCTGCATTTTAATAAAATTGTCAATGTGTAATATATACCTTGCTTCTAAGGAAGAATGATAAGAAGTAATGAAAGGGTAATTTAGACATTGAACTATTTAATATCTTTTTATATTTTACAACCCAGTAAAAGGTAAATGTAGAATAAAAGGTTTGGGCTCAGATTTGAAAATGTCTCGCTCAGATATTCTCTCTTCCATCTTTTTCTTCCTGAAAGGTTCACAATGGTTCAACCGTATGTGCCTGTTGAAATGGTACAGTAACTCGCTCTCGGATACTCAGCATGTAAAGTGAGATGTCCCATTGTTTCTCATTGCAGATGGCGTTGATGTTGAAGATGATCCCAGTTGCTCTTGGCCAGCTTCCTCACCTTCTAGCAAGGACCAGACTTCCCCTAGCCATGGAGAAGGTTGCGATTTTGGAGAGGAAGAAGGTGGCCCTGGACTTCCATACCCATGTCAATTCTGTGACAAATCGTTTAGCCGCCTCAGCTACCTAAAGCACCATGAGCAGAGTCACAGTGACAAACTGCCTTTCAAATGCACCTACTGCAGCAGGCTGTTCAAACACAAGCGGAGCCGAGATCGCCATATAAAACTCCACACCGGTGACAAGAAGTACCACTGCAGTGAGTGTGATGCTGCGTTCTCCAGAAGTGATCACTTGAAGATCCACTTAAAGACTCACACGTCCAACAAGCCATATAAATGTGCCATTTGTCGCCGTGGGTTCCTGTCCTCTAGTTCCTTACACGGACACATGCAGGTTCACGAGCGGAACAAAGACGGTTCCCAGGCTGGGTCCAGGCTGGACGACTGGAAGATGAAGGACACTCAGAAGTGCAGTCAGTGTGAGGAAGGCTTCGACTTTCCGGAGGACCTCCAGAAGCACATTGCAGAGTGCCACCCCGAATGCTCCCCCAATGAGGATCGAGCTGCCCTCCAGTGTGTCTACTGCCATGAGCTCTTTGTAGAGGAGACCCCTCTGATGAACCACATGGAGCAGGTGCATGGTGGGGAAAAGAAGAACTCGTGTAGCATTTGTTCTGAGAGTTTCCACACAGTTGAGGAACTGTACAGCCACATGGACAGTCACCAGCAAGCAGAGTCATGCAATCACAGCAACAGCCCTTCCCTGGTCACAGTGGGCTATACCTCCGTGTCCAGCACGACTCCAGATTCCAACCTCTCAGTGGACAGCTCCACGATGGTGGAAGCTGCCCCACCCATCCCAAAGAGTCGAGGCAGGAAGAGGGCTGCTCAGCAAACCCCTGACATGACCGGCCCCTCGGGTAAACAAGCAAAAGTTACCTATAGCTGTATTTACTGCAACAAGCAGTTATTTTCAAGTCTTGCAGTTCTGCAGATTCACCTGAAAACTATGCATTTAGATAAGCCAGAACAGGCCCATATTTGTCAGTATTGCTTGGAGGTGTTGCCCTCACTCTATAATCTAAATGAACATCTTAAGCAAGTGCATGAAGCTCAGGACCCAGGTCTGATTGTTTCTGCCATTCCCGCCATAGTCTACCAGTGCAACTTCTGCTCCGAAGTTGTCAACGACCTCAACACTCTTCAGGAACATATCCGATGTTCTCACGGATTTGCAAACCCTGCAGCTAAGGATAGCAATGCATTCTTTTGTCCCCACTGCTATATGGGGTTTCTCACTGACTCTTCCCTTGAAGAGCATATAAGACAGGTCCATTGTGACCTCAGTGGCTCCCGGTTTGGGTCACCAGTGCTTGGGACTCCAAAAGAACCAGTAGTAGAAGTCTATTCTTGCTCCTATTGTACGAATTCACCAATATTCAACAGCGTTCTTAAACTGAACAAACATATCAAAGAGAATCATAAAAACATTCCCTTGGCCCTGAATTATATTCACAATGGAAAGAAATCCAGGGCCTTGAGCCCTCTATCTCCTGTGGCCATAGAGCAGACATCTCTTAAGATGATGCAGGCAGTGGGAGGTGCCCCTGCGCGTCCAGCTAAAAACATTCCCTTGGCCCTGAATTATATTCACAATGGAAAGAAATCCAGGGCCTTGAGCCCCCTATCTCCTGTGGCCATAGAGCAGACATCTCTTAAGATGATGCAGGCAGTGGGAGGTGCCCCTGCGCGTCCAGCCGGAGAATATATCTGTAACCAGTGTGGTGCTAAGTACACGTCCCTAGATAGCTTTCAGACTCACCTAAAAACTCATCTCGACACTGTGCTTCCGAAATTGACCTGTCCTCAGTGCAACAAGGAATTCCCCAACCAAGAGTCCTTGTTGAAGCATGTTACCATTCACTTTATGATCACCTCAACGTATTATATCTGTGAGAGCTGTGACAAGCAGTTCACATCCGTGGATGACCTCCAGAAACACCTGCTGGACATGCATACCTTTGTCTTCTTCCGCTGCACCCTCTGCCAAGAGGTCTTTGACTCAAAAGTCTCCATTCAGCTCCACTTGGCTGTGAAGCACAGTAACGAAAAGAAAGTCTACAGGTGCACGTCCTGCAACTGGGACTTCCGCAACGAGACTGACTTGCAGCTCCACGTGAAACACAACCACCTGGAAAACCAAGGGAAAGTGCACAAGTGCATTTTCTGTGGCGAGTCCTTCGGCACCGAGGTGGAGCTCCAGTGCCACATCACCACTCACAGCAAGAAGTATAACTGCAAGTTCTGCAGCAAAGCCTTCCACGCGATCATTTTGCTAGAGAAACACTTACGGGAAAAGCACTGTGTGTTTGAAACCAAGACACCCAACTGTGGAACAAATGGAGCTTCCGAGCAAGTGCAGAAAGAGGAAGTGGAGCTGCAGACCTTGCTTACCAACAGCCAGGAATCCCACAACAGTCACGATGGGAGTGAAGAAGATGTTGACACCTCTGAGCCTATGTATGGGTGTGACATTTGTGGAGCAGCCTACACTATGGAAACATTGCTGCAGAATCACCAGCTCCGAGACCACAACATCAGACCTGGGGAAAGTGCCATCGTAAAGAAGAAAGCTGAGCTCATTAAAGGGAATTACAAGTGTAATGTGTGCTCTCGAACCTTCTTCTCCGAAAATGGCCTCCGTGAACATATGCAGACGCACCTAGGCCCTGTGAAACACTACATGTGCCCTATTTGCGGAGAGCGGTTTCCCTCCCTTTTAACTCTTACTGAACACAAAGTTACACATAGTAAGAGTCTCGATACTGGAAACTGCCGGATTTGCAAGATGCCTCTCCAGAGTGAAGAGGAGTTTTTAGAGCATTGCCAGATGCATCCTGACTTGAGGAATTCCCTGACGGGATTCCGCTGTGTGGTGTGCATGCAGACAGTGACCTCCACCTTGGAACTCAAAATCCATGGGACATTCCACATGCAAAAGACAGGGAATGGGTCTGCAGTCCAGACCACAGGGCGTGGCCAGCACGTCCAAAAACTGTACAAGTGCGCATCTTGCCTCAAAGAATTCCGTTCCAAGCAAGATCTGGTGAAACTTGACATCAATGGCCTGCCATATGGTCTGTGTGCTGGCTGCGTGAATCTCAGTAAGAGCAGTAGCCCAGGCATCAACATCCCTCCCGGCACGAGTAGACCAGGCTTGGGCCAGAATGAGAATCTGAGTGCCATCGAGGGTAAAGGCAAGGCAGGAGGACTGAAGACACGCTGCTCTAGCTGCAATGTTAAGTTTGAGTCTGAAAGTGAACTCCAGAACCACATCCAGACTGTCCACCGAGAGCTTGTGCCAGACAGCAACAGCACACAGTTGAAAACTCCGCAAGTATCACCAATGCCCAGAATCAGTCCCTCCCAGTCGGATGAGGTAACTTGCCTTTTTTATGTTTGCTCTTTAACCTCCTCAAGAGACTGTCCCCACTTTATGTTGACACTTTCCACAGCTTTGTGTGTTGTCATGTGCCAGGAGATGCTTAGATTGAAATGCAGTGGTTTTTTGCCCCATAGCCATTAGCTAGCAATTACTTGCTTCTTGAGAAGCAACATTCTGGCTTGAATGGTGCAAAATAGGACTAATTCCAGTCTCCCTAGGATATTGTCTTCTCTGTGACTGAAGAGACCAGCACTCATGCCAACACCACTGAGATCTGGAATCTCAGCCTAGCTTCATCACGAGTTGAAATCCCCAGCTATGACTTGTGTGTATGGCAGAGAGATAATGACACAAAAGTAAGACACTGTGAGCCAATGTGCTGGCTTACAGCAAATTAAAAAGACTATATATTTGTGGATAATAAATTGGGTAGAAGTGGCTTTTTTAATACTGTGTTGTCAACACTTACTCTCTTTGTCTTCTTTGTAGTGAGGAGAATACTTTCTCACAACAGGATTTTTAAAAAGCCCCTCCATTTATTACACACCACACACCCGTTGTTCTGTTTATAAGTGCTATCCCTGAATCTTCACTCTGTGAAGATTCACTCTCTGAAACCCCTTAGTTTCAGAGTCATTTATGTTTTCTTTGCTACAATGAGTACAAGAAACAAGTTCATTTAAGGTAAAGTAGTTTTCTAAGTCATCATTCCTAGAAGCTGAGCAGAGGATGGCTCATTTTCATGTAATTCCTTGATGCTTTATCACCTGGTTTCTAATAGTGCTTTCCACTTCCCCACTTGCCCCTATCTGGGGATCCATCCAAATGAGAACCCCAGGGAGATCCTTCTCCCCTCGGTCTGGGATCACTGCATTTTCCTTATCTCGTCTCTGCACTCACACCCTCTTGGGGGGCCCCCAGCGTCCCCCTGCAGATAGCCATCAGTCAGCTGGCAGGGGAGAGCTGAGCAGGCTGATGCAGAGTCCATCCTTGCAAAATGTGGCATCTTTGTCACAGGCAAACTCCCAAACTTTGAAGCTGCTCTCCCTTCTCCCCTCTCCAAGTGAATCTGCACTTTTCTCCCATTTAAATAAATGAAATCCTTTCAAACTGATAAAGACAGCTGGAACAATATGGTCTTGATAATGATTCATGTCTCACATGTTGGATCAAATAGTTTCTTTTGAAGCAAATTTTGGTACTGTCATCCCTCTGTATCTGGGGGAGATTGGTTCCAGGACCTTCCACGGATCCCAAAATCTGCAATTGGTCAAGTTCCTCATATAAAATGGCCTAGTATTTACATATAGCCTATATACATCTGCCAGTAGTCTTTAAATCCTCTCTAGATTACTTATAGTACCTAATACAATGTAAATGCTACATAAATAGTTGTTATACTTTATAGGTTTTATTTGTATTATTTTTTATTGTTGTATCTTTTTTTCCCCCAAGTATTTTTGATCCACAGTTGGTTGAATCAGAGGATCTAGAACCTGTAGATGCAGAGGGTCAACTGTACTTATAATCATATAAATGAATTATTTGCTCTAACTTTTTATTTCAAACGTTTACACATTTAGAAAAGTTAGAGGAACAGCACAATGAACATGTGTGTGTGTTTCTGTATTCACATCCTAGATTTACCAGATAGGAGCATTTTGCTGCATCTTTTCTCTCTCTCTCTCTCTCTCTCTCTCTCTCTCTCTCTGTATATGTCCCTTTTTGCCTTTTTTAAAAAATCAACCTGAGCCACCTCTGGTTGATTTTAAAGTAAGTTGCAGATATTGTGACATGTCCTAAGATTAATGATCTTATTTAACCATAATATCCTTAGCAACATAATTCAATTAGCAAAAGCAATTAGATAAATCCACAATACCATCTCTAAGAGGTCCCTACTCAAATTTCTGCAATTGTCCCCCAAATGTCTTGTTTTTGAATGAGAATTCTTAAAATCCTCATGCAGAAATTTACTGCTCTCCTTTTTAAAAAAATTTTGTGGGCCGGCCCGGTGGCGTACTGCTACAGTGCGCCGCTTGGGAGCGCGGCGGCGCTCCCGCCGAGGGTTCGGATCCTACATACAGACCGGTTCCCGCTCACTGGCTGAGCAAGGTGCGGGCACAACACCGAGGGTTGCAATCCCGTTGCCGGTCCCGGTCCGGTACGGGCGCGACACTGAGGGTTGCGATCCATTGCCGGACACGAAAAAAGGAAAAAAAAAAAAAAAAAATTTTGTAATGCTTAACATACCTAGAGGAGTTTGCATATTCATGTTTTATTAAATTAGTGTGTAAAGGTGACTTAAAATGACTGTATTTGTGTGTGTGTTTGTGTGTGATTGTGGTAGTGTTGATGTGTTTAAAATCAAGCAAAAGCAGACTTTTGTTTCTAGTATACTGTTTACAAGAAGGCATGTGCCTTTTTTGCTTATCTGTTCATGGTATACATTTTCTGACATTTATGAATTGCTATATATTATAATACCATTTGAGGGGAAATATTTCAAAATGAAGGAGGACATATGAATAGTATTTATACCTTAATTTGGTTAGAGTTACTTGATTAGGACAATTTATCCTTAAGGCATTGTCCAGTCTTTAATTATACCAAATATCTTAATGATAATTAGAAAGCTTATCTATATCCTGCTTTTACATCAGATAATATTTAAAATACTTGTCTTTTTAAAGTCTTACAATAGTGTTTTTTAAGCACCTAGCTATTAAGGGTTAAAATGACTTTTTATGTAGAAGGTACTGCTCTATTAAACCTGATTAATAAGAGCTTGCAGTGATGTCCTTAATTGACCAGACATCAGGATTTAGTTGTAAATATTTCCTTTGTACCTTAAAAGTTCACTAATTTGTTCAACATTTTTATCATTACTATTACCATTTTTATTCACTACATTAAAGTCATAAACTTTTATGTGATATCCCCTACAGTTAAAAACATAAAGCAGACCATGTTATTTGGACTGACATAGAAAATTATCTAAGCATACATGGAGTTTTCAAAAAAGAAGCCTAAAAATAATATCAGCAGGGAAAAGACATACAATAAATATTTCCTTGTTTACATTCTTTGTTAACCACGTTAAACTTCTGTGACTTTGCACTATGAGCAATATGTAATTTTTTTGCAAAATTAAAAGAAATTACTATATAATATATAATTTTTTGTCTAAAGACAGGTTTATCGTGTGGAAATAAATTTTATCACAAAAAGAAATGCGACATGTATGTCTATTGACTTAGATGTTCTAGGTAGGAATTGAAGGACGTAGCAATACAGATGGTATTTTCATCTCTTCTTTTTGCTGAGGATTGAGACTTCAAAAGAGAAAAGAAGACCACAGGAGATAATAAAACTTGGACACATAGATATTGTCAAGAGCAAGATTAGATTTCTCTGGACCACGACTTATGGTCAAACAAGGATATCAGTATACACTTGCATGTATCTTTTTCAAAGAATGAAAAGAATGTCATTTGATTGAGACTAGTTTACCTAATTAAAAGGGATTTAATTTTGAATATAAACCTAAGGAAGGATAAGTACTATGTAAAACCATACAATCAAAAAATGAATGAAAGACAGGGCACGTGAGCCTCAAAGAAGGGTAGTGGTAGGCTGCTGACATGTGATGGAGAGATTTGGAGTTGAAGACAGAAGATCTGAATTTGAATCCCGTTTATTCTGCTTAATACTTTCTGAATTTGTGAGAAACATTTTCTTTGTGCCAAAATCCTAAGGTCATTAATTTAAATTTTCTGGGGAGACTTTGTTTTGAATAAAATATTTTGGGGAATCTATTCATTTTCCTTTGCTCCTGAAAGGCTGAGCATGATATAAATTTCTGCATAACCTACAATGATTCCATAAATGGTAGAGTTAATTTGAGACAGGAAGAACCCTGGCCATGTAACTTTTTCCACCCATTGAAGGACCTCGCAGAATTACTGACATGTACCATGTGTTGAAAGAATGTTCTTCTTCTGGAGTTCATCGACACTGGCCTGGCTGTCTGGTCAGGTGCTGTCCAATCTGGACCTCAAAATGATGTCTTGTGACTTTAAAGTTCTGTGCTACATATTGGGAGCATGCATCCTTTTGCCTCCATTTTTCTGGGATGCTTCACAGTCAGTCTTTTCCGAGGGACTGTTTATTCACATTTCAACTCCCACCATCCCCATCAGTCCATTGAAATTGCTCTCTCCAGGGTTACCATTATCTTCATGTTGTGTGAAACATGCACCTGTCCCAGAATCAAAACCAGGAGGGACTAGAGAGACCATCTGATTCAGCCACCTTACTTTACAGACAAGGAAATAGATAAATTCAAGTTTGTCTAAGATCACACAGCTAGGAAGTGGGAGACAAGAGGCAACAACCCAGGTTTCTAACTCTAGGTTCAAGATTTTTTTATAAGTCAAGATGCACTTTCCTCTATCTGCAGTCTGAGCCCTGTCACATTCACAAAATCCTCTTGGTATTGCTGTCTTTTCTCCTCTCATTTCCTCTGCTCACTGCTTCTATCACATTACTGCGACTGACTTCTCTGAGGTCTCTACTGGCCTAATTGACCACTGCAGGCCCTGTCACATTCACAAAATCCTCTTGGTATTGCTGTCTTTTCTCCTCTCATTTCCTCTGCCCACTGCTTCTATCACATTACTGCGACTGACTTCTCTGAGGTCTCTACTGGCCTAATTGACCACTGCAGTGTACTTTAAATAAAATATGTATATATATGTATTTTAGTTACTATTGTCACCAAGTACCTGCCATTGTTGGACATTCATTTTTTAGTGATCCTCTGCCTTCCTCCCTGGTTCCCTTAACACCTCTGGGAATGTTCGATAGCCTTTCTGCCCTTGGCCATTCCTGTAAGTCACTGGTTCCTGTTGCTGCCCTTACCCTGCAGGCCCCCTCCACATAGCTTCATCCACTCGGATAGCTTTAACTATGACTCTCCCAATAGTGCCTGC